CACGAAATCCACGCTCACTTCGAGGATGTTCCTTCAGATCCTCTAGCATGATGATCACCTTCATCCACAGGCTCACGTTTAGGTCCTGTAACGCAATATCAATTCTTGAAATTTTCAGAAGCTTTCACAATTCCACCTACTTTTCTCTAACCCGTAACTCTTTCCAGAAGTGCCTCTTCCTGGCGACTGGTCTGGTTCTACTGGTTCCTTCTTAACCTCTCGGCGTTCGTCACCATTACCTCTTCGATCCCTAAATAAACAGTGGTGCAGGTACATTTTGAGACATCCAATCTAGCTCACTTTTCCTTCTGCGAATCACGGTAACGGGCGTCGTTTCTATCGCCATGAGAAAACTTTCTGCTGAAACTCAAAGAAGTGTGGAACAATTGTAAAAAATGATTGCTAGCAAATCGCCCACCTTTCCCTTCTTTCGGGTGATGCCGACTTTGACTTGGATCTAAAAGAGTACGCTCAGAATTCGAGAAATTAACATGAACAATGTATCAAAAGTTTGTTATGAAAAAACCATTCAACAATTTACTTGAATATAGCCGAATTAATGTTAATAAGATAACAGAAGTAGGAAAAGCCTTGACCAAAAATGATAAACGTTAATAAGCGGATAGAAGAATTTTAGTGCAATAAGCAGCGCTTAGTTTACTCTATCGAGCACAAGGATTGCCCTAGCGCTAATTCTTGAATTCGTATAGGCAAGTTTTAGTCAACCCACCTTCTATGGGATTTTCTACTGTCCCGCTCATCGGTATTTCTGGAAAGACATTTTCAAGAGGCAAAAAAAGAAATAAACAGACGTTAGAAGCTACAAAAAGCCATTATGATATGCATTTCAGACTATTGAAATTATTGGTTTTAACTCACAAGAGCTTCGCAACTTTCAAAATTCCCACCTATGTTGTCTTGGTGAATTTTCCCTTCGCACCCGTTTCAGGTCAGGCGACATCCTAGAAGATTACTTTCCAAGCTTAAATAAAATAAGCCTAACTAAAATGGTCCGGATTTGTTCAACGCGACTTCATTATCAAAGGAAGATAATCACCAAAATAAGCTCAACATATGTGCGTGTATGAAACTCTACTTTCAAGCCTGCATCCCAGTTAGTGCGATTGAATCCAATTTAAAATTTGATTTTGCATTCGATAAGTTTAAGTGTCAGTTTAAGTTTAGATCCCATCGTTTTCAGCTCAACCTACCTCTTTCTCGAAGTTGGTGAAGCTGCTTTCGTTCTATTTTCTGGAGAGCTTAATCTAAAAATCGAAAGATGATCGCTCATCACCAAAGCATAAAAATCAACTCACTTTTCCTCGCCTCCCGATTCTTCAGATGAGCTTA